TTCTTAAGCTCATCATTTTCCTTGGAAAATGCCTCCACCCTTGACTCAGCCTCAACTTGCTTTGACTTTGGAGGCCTCGATGGCCTCATTGGCCGACGACGCCTCAGCCTTATCCGTTACAACCTCGGCCTCCGTATCCCTTTGAAGAAGCTCCTTATTGAGGCCCTGTAACTGCCTCATCTCCATTTGCACGTTCAAAAAGAAACCGACTCTCGCTCGGACGTCCCGCTCACCGACCTCCACTATGTCCACCGCATCACAAGTCTCTGCATACGAAGAGTACTTATCAGTACTAAGTGTGAGCTAAAGAATCTAAAATTGCATTAACCTTGAATGACATTAAGTGTGACTTTTATACTTGAGCTGGATAAACGAGATTCGTCGGATGATAGGTCACATGGCCTCATCAGAATGACCTTCTTGTTGCACACATCAATCAATCAATCAGGCATTAAATGCTAGGCCCCCTTTCACATCCACAAGTCCTAGCTTGTGCAAGTGGGATTTGATAGCGTACGTGTTCAGAAGTGGCATGGCAGTGAACATCAATCATTTCACCACAAGATCTATCAAGGATCTCGTCACCTCCTAATTAGGACCAACTCCTACATGGGGCGTCTGCTCATATGGGGTCGGTCCGGTTTCTTTCCATAGGAAAGGGGTTGCCTACATATGTATAATAGGGCCGTCCATGTTGTCACGTAAGGTATGGGGCTCCTACGTCTGCCACATAATTCAGCTAGACACGATTATTTATATGAGTAACATGAATAGTAAATAATCTATTTTCTCAAAACACTCTATATTTCCGATAGTTACAAACAAAAAAATTAAACCAAAATGAAAAGCCATTACAATCTAAATTTGAAGTTTACATCAAACATTTCTTCTTTTGATATTTGGAGTTTTGACAGAAAAAATATAGAATGTAAACAAATTATTTAAGAAAAAAAATATATGTGTTTTTATTATTTTATTTTTTAAGTTTAAAAAGTTGAATTTTAAAATGAAAAAAAATAAAGAAATGTATTAGCGGGTTGAATCAGTTAATTGACGGATTGATTGCTTAAACTAAAACTAACCGACCCGACTTTTTAATGGTTAAAATTAATAGAACCATGCCGATTTTTTTGTTCAAATCAACCCGACTCGATTTGGTTTGGTCGGTTTGAT